CGGGAATTTGAAAAGGGGCGGGGGTGGTGGGGAGCCGTTTTACCGAGCGAAGGTGGGGTGTTCCCCTCCATACGGCTGGGGGGAGGGCCAAGGTCCCCCAGGACTCCGAGGGATGGGGGAGGGGGAGTCCTTGAACCTACTGCTCTCCCTGCTCAAAACATTATCAAAAATAGTCATTATAATCACGAAAAATGGGCATGAAAAACCAGATCACATTCTGAATACAAAATTTATGCACCTTCCCCTCAGCAGTTACTAAGACATACTCCGAGTCACGCGCCGACTCGATGAAGTTTAATGTCATACCCATCGAAGGGCGCAGATCTGCTTTGAAAGGTGTGGGGTGGGGAGACATTTCATGAGTCCACACCCACCTCAGACCCACCATGGTTGGGACTGAGTTGCGAAAATTTGAGAAATTAGTACCTCTAGATGGTTAGAAATGACACTTTTAGCAAAATTCATCATCATCAGATTGTCACCATTATAGTCAAAATAAAGCACCAACAAATGTTTCATTATTTTTTATCACAGATTTTCGGCAAATATAGAGATCTTATTAATGTGTGTGATGTACCATAGAAAATAAAGCTTAAAAACATCGTCTTTGATGCATGTACTTTACAACCACCTTAGCCCACCATGGTTTGGGCTGAGGTGAGAAAAGTTTAGGAAATAGTACCTCTAGATTGCCGGAAATGACACTTTTAAATAGTAAAATTTATCATCATTGTCACATCACCATATTATATTTAAAATGAAGCGCCAACAAATTTCTCATAATCTTTTATCAGGGATTTTCGGCAACCACAAAGATGCTCCCACCCTCCAGGACACCTTGGGCCCAAGTATACTAAGTTTCAACAACTATAACTAGAAATTGCAAATTGCAAGTGAAGTGCTGCGAAGTACAACTGCACATTAATGTTCTTCGTACAAAATTATTTATGTGAGTCAAGTGAAAATAATGAATAATAAAAATATAACAAATAATATGAGACACGACCAAAGTAGTATCTTTGGACACGACCTATTGTCTATATTAGAACACTTCTCATTGTGTAACAAAGTCGTGATTTTTCATTTTTGTCAAAAAGTGCCTATAGTGGTGAATTATGGTTTAGGTTTTTTTAAATAAAGTTTCAAAAATTTCTATGTATGTGGAAAATGTAGTTGATTACCAAAGGTTACAATTTTTATTTTGAAGACTGCATGGTCTAGGAAGTGTACATTTTTTTTTTATGGGGCAAGTTTCCAAAGGCGGGTTTTCTAGGGGCGAGTTGACTGCCAAAGAGTGTTGCCAAAGTGCGAGCCAGTGTGTTATTTGATCACAAGTGCGAGACATCGCAAGTGTGTGAGCAGGCCAGCGAGCCATGACGTCACGACAATAAATACGAGACGTTAACGAGTTATGCGAGGTATCGGCTGAGATTTGTGGATTACAATTCAAAAAACAACTATAGGTCTAATAATGAATTATTGTGATGTTAAATAGACAATGTTAGCTATCAAGGAGCGACAGTGTTTTTCATTGGGACCTTCGTCCCTTCAAGGCTAGGCCTACCATCCTAGCTAGTCTAGGCCTGGCTAGCACGACATGCGGACGTTGGTACGAGTAGGTTAGTCTACTAACGGCGCCTAAAGTAATTGATTTTACCCGGCAGAACGAAAGAAGGAAACTCCGCTTTTCAGTCGTCTTAGGCTCCTGTTTTTTGACAAACAATGACCTTTCAAAGGTCAAATTGCTGTCAGGAATATGAATTGGCTGCTTCGCAGCAATAATTATGATCGACAAATCACATTTCTTTTCGCCTTCAGCACAATTTTTAATATTACCATCGTCGTCATCATCATCACATCATCATCGTCTTTATTATTATTATTATTATTATTATTATTACTTTTTTAGTATTAAAACATTTCTGTATTTTAAAAGACATGGTCTGGGGTTTATGGATTTAAGACGAATTTAAGTATTTTTTTGTTAAGTTAGTTTGCTAAATCCACTCATTGAGCAGTAGTAATAAACCCGAAAATTTATTTTTTTGCATTATCGTGTACAGTGGAATTTGATAAATATAATAAATCTACTTTACTATCAGGTTAGCGAGTGATTTTGTTGATAGTATGGTGGGTTTCTATTAGAGCACGGGTCACAAACAATAGTAGAAGGAGTCAATTAGAAATTGTTACAGCATTTAAATCAACACCAATGTGCTGATGCATATTTACATATTTTAGAGAAGTATTCATTTTGAGTGATCCCAGGAAAGAATTTATAGGCCTATTAGCTAACAAGAACAAGCTTTAAAATTCTAACTCTTTACATATGCGGCTCCCATGGGAGCCAATGAGTCATTGGCCATATTCGTCTACCTTCCTTCTCTAGGTTGGAACTTCAAAACCCCGTCGAACAATACAGGCACCACAACTGAGGATTCGGCCGAAAAATAAATCTGCTTTATCCCAGTTAATGGTTAATCCAGCTTGGTAAACAGTTTTATACCAGATAGTCTGGCCAAGACAAAGCAGTTTCTGTCATTTCTTTGCCGTGGTAGCGCTAGCAAGTAAAGGGCGACGATAGGGTATCTTAGTTAAACGTTATGTATTTAATATAAATGTGCTTATAAAACATTTTTTCTGATTTCTGTTGTGATAGCCGAATTGTTAATAAAGTTGGATTTAGAGAGAATAAGTAATGAATCGTAACTACAGTAATCCGCTATTTTATGCTATTGTTCCTATTTTACTGCCTTTAATTGACTTTCGGTAAACTGCGTTTCGACCAACTGGGATTCATGGTTTTTGAGTCGGCAATCGGGCACTCGGCAAATTGGGTTTTGACAATCAGGCCTAGATCCTTTCCTACATACTATGTCTAAAGGCACATTTAGGTCCAAATTAAGCCATAAAAATTCTCCCCATGAACCCTAACAAGGTTTTTTTTCTTATTCAGAGTGCCTTGGTTCGGACCCCTCCGTCGGACACGTCGGACCCCTTGTCGGCAAATTTTATCGCCGCCGCTGTCCTAGAGCCACCACTCGGCTTGCATATATTTTAATAGGTCATGATCTCTTTTCCTTCTAGTGGTTCTGGCAGCCCCTGACATCGTCCACTGACACTCTAGCCATGAACAAGGTCAGTCACCCGTTCGTTCTCCGGCAGATACTAGCACCACCCTTGTGCCATACTACCTGGTAAACAAATATGTTACCTATGTTCATGGGTTCGGCCGATCTCCCATTTTGAGCAAGCCTCCTCTTTAACTCCAATCCCCAACTTGTATTAAAGACCATCGAAATGATGATAAAGAATGGATCAGCTCCTAATAATTAAATCTAAAGGAAATAAATTAATTTTCAATCAATCAATCAATCAAGCGAAGATTTATAAGGCGCACGTATCTATCAACCATGATATGGAGATGCTCGCGGCGCCGAACATCTACAATTAGATCCACCACGTGCCGATAGGGGGTCTGAATAAAGTGCCGACTAGAGCCTCGGTCAGGGCTCAAGCATAAAATTCCTTGTAGCGTTCGCAGGGAGAGTTTGTAGTGGGGGGGGGGGAGGGATGGGGCGAGATACGATGTTTAATCCTTTTATTTCATTTCTAATTTTAACTGATAGCGTTTAAATGTGTTTTCCCACAGCATTGTTGTTTGCCATTATTTTTGCAAACTGAGTTTCAGCAAACTGGATTGTCATGATTCAGTGAACTGGAATGAGTTTGGACAAAGTGGCCATGGACTCGGTAAACTGGGTTTCGACAAACTGGTCGGTTGAATTTGGACATTTCAAGCTGTTTTTATACATTGATTTGAGTTTCAAAAAAAGAAAAAAAAAAAGAAATAATTGATCGCCCGAAATGCCTCAGATGTTATTTTCGGGCGTCTAGAAAACTAAAATTTCGCGAGGGCATGCCCCCGGACCCCCTGGGTAGTGTTGTCTCGATCGGCCCCACTTTCGCCTCCGACATTTTGGACGTCTCTGGATCCGCCTCTGGAGATTCCGGGACCCCTGCCACCGAGGGTAAGGGGATGGTGTTTTGCCGGAAAAGGGATCGATACCGCTCATGGAAAGGATAATCCCCTTGGCGAAAACCTAGGTGGGCGGGGCCAGTGGCAGCCAAGAACCCCAGTGGCAGATCCGGGAATTTTAAAGGAGATTTTGGGTGGGACACATCTGCCCCACCCAGGATGATTGATGGGGCTGAATGATTACGGTATCTCTAGATGGCCGGAAATGACACTCTCAGGCTTATAATGTTGATATTTAAAACGTTAAATAATTTATGTTTAGTGGGCAAGGGGCGGTGACCGACTGGACCCCTTCAATCCACCACTGAACCCCTCAAGGGTAGGCCGAAACTGCTGAAACTCCGACTATTTAGCGATTAAAAAGCCTTATTTAATTGATTCAAGAGCTACATTTTGTGAAAACCTGCAGTACATGCTTTTTTTCTTCCCGACAGAGTGTAGGAGAAACCACTGTCCCCTGGCTTACATTTAGCGCCACTCCATTGCAAAACCTCCAATGCATTCCAATTTTCCAATTTTGAGTTTGACAGTGTCATTTCCGGCCATCTAGAAATACCATAAACATAACAATTTCTTACCTCAGCCCCAACCATGGTGGGGCTGAGGTAGCATAATTCACCTATCTGTAAAATTTACTGTCTGCATCCCTCCCGCCGAATTCCAAGATCCCAGATGTCGTAATTTGGCGAATCATATTCTATCCATAATCTTATTGGTGGAACATACATGAGTCGCCCTCAATTTTACCGAAATTAAAAATTAAATGGGGTATAAAAGAAAATTACCTTCAAATTTTAAGGCGGACAGTGCCCATTTCCTGCCACCTATAAGTGTCATATACATTTTAAAAAATTGTTGGGATATGGACAATGAGTATATTTAGACATGGGGGTACGTGAATACTTTTTACATGGGTCCGCCAACGCAAAAGTGTTGGGAACCGCTGATCTAGTGTACACTGTCGATTTAATACGTTGATATTTGTGCACCATGTGTTATTAATATACCGTACTCGCGCGAATAAGCGGCCGGGCGCTTAAAATATTTTTTTGCACTTTTTGAGGGGCGCTTATCAAAACAGAGTGGGAATTGAGGGGGCGATTATGGAAATAAATGAAAATCGGAGGGTTCTTATGAGAACTTATTAAATTCAAGAGGCACATTTTGAACGAAAAAAAATTATCGTATATAAGGGCATAAGGAAACCGCAAATTACGAATGGTGGTGCGGCGGAAAAGATAATCGTCCAGAGAGCATGGCTTGTCATGACAAGAATGTTGTGAGTACAGTATTACATAACAGCAGAATAGCAGATTAAATTAGTGGTGGTGGTTAGCTTGTTGGCCATCGGCCAATTGAGTCTAGCAGGATGGCATGATCACTGCAGGTTTTCTTGAAAACTCAGATGAGAATGTGTTATGTGCAAATTGTCGGAAAAGCAGTAGGACTAGGCTATAGAAAAATGTAAGAAGATGAAAGTTGGAAATATACTGTCTGTCCAGGGAGTTCTCATCTGTTCAAGATAAATATCCTCATTTTGATATTGATTAAAGGAGAATGTGATTCCACTCCAGACCTCAAATCATACCAACATCCACAGTCCAGGATTGATTGAATTATTGAGGGGCGCTTATTCAAACGGGGCGCTTAATCGCGCGAGTACGGTATGCATACACCTCCACTTCCTTTGACCCTGCCCCTTCAAAATTTAACCAGCTCTAGATCTTTGGTAAAGGAACACAGTTTTGACGCGCTACTGTGATTTCAAGAACTAACACAATCTACTTTGATTGTGTTAGTTCGTGATGTGAGCGACGAATTATTGATTACGAGGTGATGTTGAGTTTCAATAGTATTTTATATTGTTGTATAATAAAACAAAATTACATTTACACTTAGGACTGATGGGATTAATTTATAGGTTTAAGCCTTTTAAGACCTCATATCTGTTTTCTTTCCAATGTTTTCTAGTTTGCCTTTGAATTGGTTTGTTGCCTTGGCGTTTACTTCCTCTTCAGGGACCTCGTTTTTTTGTCTTTACAACACGTTGAGTGAAGAAGTACTTCCTGAGGTTCAGTTATGACAAGCTTTTTCTTGAATATCTTGAATCTCTGGTAGATCTTCCATGAGCCATTGAGAATAGTGTATCTAGAATGATGTCACATAGGCTGTTCATGATTCTAAAAACTTCAATGAGATCACCAGTAACGTCTTCTTATTCCAGGGGGAATACAGCTTCAGCTCTCTCATCCTTTCTGGGTATGTTTTGTGTCTGAGATATGGTATTAGCTTCGTTGCCTTCCTTTTGGATCTTTTCAGGGTTCTTGTTGTCGTGTATCAGGTACGGATTCCATACTTGCACACAGTACTCAACATGTGGCAGATATGCCTTGTACAAGATGGAGAAACTGTCCTTGTCGATGTACTTGAAGGTCCACTTATGATCCTCAGGCTAGTCATTGCTTTCGATGCTGCTTTAGATCACTGCAAGGATGGCTATACAGTCATCTGTGATGAAAACACCAATGTCTTTCTCTTCCTTTGCGTCATTAATACCTTCATCACCCCAGGGTGTAGTTTCTACCAGGATTCTCGAGCCCCATGTGCATACATTTGCACTTTGATGCATTGAAGCGCGAAAGCCATGTGTTTGACCACTCCCTCAGCTGATTTAGGTCGTCTTGAATTTGGTCACTGCCTTCCGGGCTATATTTATGGACACTGTTGTATAACGTCTTGGTATCATCGGCAAACATCTTGGTAGTTGATGATACTACTTCTGGCAAGTCGTGTACATACACTACAAACAGAATTTGCCTCCAACACCGATCCTTGTGGAACACCACTCACTATTTCATCCCATTCTGACATTTCTTTCCTTACTCCAATTTGCTGTTTCCTTCTGTGCAAAAATTCACTAATCCAATCCAACACTATTCCTGTTATTCCATAATTCCTTGGAGATTGTGCTCTTGTGCGGCACTGTGTGGCACTGTGTCGAAGGCCTTTGAATCATGGTAGACTATGTCGACCCCAAATCCTTCGTCAAAAATTAAAAATGCCTTGCTCTCAAATGCTTACCCACAAATTTACTATTTTGCATTGCTTACAATCTGATTTCATGCGTCTTGGTTTCTGTGTTTTGTGAGTGCGAGTTTGTCATTTCTTAATTTTTCTCCGAAAATGGTTTACAGGCAATTTGCTTTTCGTTACACCTTCTCCATTTTTTCACTGATTGATTATGATTTGTCTTTCTTGAGACTTTTGTATTGTTATTGATAGATATAGATATTGAGTTCATTTGAATTAGCCTACCCTATCTTTAAATTGCCAACTAAATAAAAGCGAAAATCATAATTTAAGCACTAATGAAAATTAACCAGTTAATTAACCACTTATATCCATTATCTAGATGGGGATACGCTTGTTACTGCTACGCCTACTCCAAATTATTTCTATAATCGGTAAGTAATACAGTTAGCTTTTCTTCATACTGTTTTAGCTAAAAATAAGATTGTAAACCAGTGGACAGGGCGGTAGAGGTTATATCCTACTCAAAAAAGTTAAACAGATCTACACCGTATTTCATTGATAAATTGAAGTCTACGCCTGTGGTTTATACCTCACTTTATCCTTCTTCGCCAATATAGGCCTATGAATGCAATACTTGTCATCATTTCTATTCATAATACTTATTGTATCGAAAGCTGAATACCGACAGGTGAAGGTCATCAAAGGAAATCGAATAGAATATCCACCCACAGATGTAGAGGCATGGGTCATTCTTCACAGTAGAAAATCCCTCTGTTTCAACGTACTATAAATTTTTTAACAAATAATAAAGGAAATGTTATTTTTGGTTGACTTAATGTAGTCTTTAACATATTTGTTAATGGAATAATTTAATAATTTTAAAAGTAATCCATATGCTGTTTATTTTTAATATAAAAAAAACCCTCCAAAATTTCACACTATGCATGTTCCAATTGGATTTCTTAGGATTAAGAATAATTTAAAGGAACAACCACCACATAATGTATATATTGATGTCTTCTTTCAATGTGAAATTAAAAATGTCATCAATAAACTATAAATACATAAAATTTGACTTTTTAGACTAAAAAAATGTGTCCCTGAATTGTATCATCTCCGTCACAATACTAGGGACGCAGTCAGGGGGGGAGGGGGTCCTTACCCCTCAAACTTTTAAAATATCCCGATTATTGTAGTAAATGAATGATTGGTACAGTAATATAAAAAAACATGGCCTATGAAATGTAAGCCGTCCTCTTTTAATTATGATACAGAGTAACTGAGTAACCCTTGCCTCATCAAACCCGGCGCACACGCAGTGTCATCTATAAATCTATGTTGTGCGTACAGCAATATTAAAGTTGGAATATTTTATTACAATCATGGTTACCCGTATCGATGTATCAAATGAAAATACTGTATATTTAAGTATTATTTGGTATAATCAAACAAGAGTAAAAATAACTTTCCCTGTTACACGACAGCGACCACCTCCCGTAAACCATTTTTTTTACGGTGCTAAATTTTCCTGGGCCTTGGCCCGTGAGGTCCACGACTGGAGGCCCTTGTCAGCCCCTTGGCCCCAGTCCAAATGCTCGCAAGATTTAACCATCCCCATCACCCCCCCCCCCCTCAAATTTTGCCCTGGCAGCGCCCCTGAGCAGGCCTACTTAAAAATTCTATTATTATAGCTGTTACCAAAATGACATAACAAGTTATAGATCAAACCATTTTGGTTGAAGGGAACCATACAGTAAGAATTGAACAGTTAAGCCACTTATAGCTAAATAATTTATGAATATTTAATAATATCCAGAAAAGTACATTTATTCAGCATAATCTCCGAACGCTTCAGTGTGTACTGTATCTATTATTTTGTTAGAAAAATTGTGTCATCTTCAAAGCGCACTTGGCATTCATCCTGTAAACACATTTCATAGCGATTATGACCTACAACGTTTAATTCATCATCTCCGTCACAATTATCTCCATCACAGTTTTACTGTGACGGTGATGATTTTTTTATGTTTTCTTTTCTCAAAACGGCTATAAAATAAGAATGATAATTGATCGGGCTAATATTGTTAGAAACCTTTTTATTCAATGGTTTTTATTCTATTTAAATAACACACTAAAATTTACTAATATTCCCATTTGTGTGTATATCATCATCTCAAGTGTGATGAAGATGATTCTTTAAATATTTGCTGCTACAGCACTTAAAATTGAATGCTTAAATGATCGTTTAAATGCCCTAATTATAATACCAAATGTTTATTATAGCTGTTAGGTAACATAATGATGACCAGTGTAATAAAAGAAATAAAAATTTGAAACTTTTTAAAAATCTATTCTAAACCTCTAAAATGGCATATTACCGAAGAATGACCCACCTAATATAAGTATTATAGGCCTATCAAATGTAAGTAGGCTGGACTCGATCAAAGTAAATCTTGCTTTCCACAGTGAATTATTTATAGACCTATTCATTTCTTGTTAGCAACTGAAGCTACGAAAGAATTGTGGGTAATTGAGGGAAGAAGAATAGAACTTCCAGCGCTCTCAGATGCAGATAATGTATCAATCGCAAGTAGGCATATAAATGCAGTGAACTGGTTCAATGGTACGAAGATTGACGTTAACAAAATTATCGTTAGCCTGAAACATCCCAATCAAAGTCGCTTTTCCATTGATTTGACCGAGAAAACCTACGGAGATTTGGTAATAGAGCCGGTAAACAGAATAGATACGCGACATTACTTCTGCCAAGTTGTTGAGAAAGATAAGGAAACAACATGGAAAAACACATTGTTTCTTGATGTATATTGTGAGTGTACACCTATTACACAGCATCATAATATACAAGTAATTATTTTAGAAACACTAGCCAAGTTTTATCATGTTGATGCATTTGTCTCAAATAAAATATTAAATTGGTACATTATACCTTAATAACAAGAAATATTAAATATTATAAAGAAGAAATAATATAAACCCTGTTGGTTGCTCTGTGTGGGCTATGCTGTCGAAATGTATTTCCAGTTATACAATTTGCAAAATTTTCTTGCAGAATTAATATTAGGGAGGTTTCGCACGCGAACGCGTACGGTTAGTGTGACGGATACGTCATCAATTTGACGTCATACGCCGGCTGCTATCCGCTAAACGTGTGGACGACACGCATATCTCGCTTACTACACGTAAGTGAAAAACGCGTAGGGAAATTGTGGATTTCTGCAGTGGCGGCTCTAGGATATATTTTCGGGGGGTGGGGCTAAGTTGTCCGACAGGGGGGACTTGAGCTCATAGGTACGAGCTGGATGAAGGAGTTGAGAGGAAGGGGTTGAGAGGAAGTTCCCCCTCCCAAATGAGATTTAAAAAAAAAAGAATATCAACATCTGGATGGCCGAAAAAGGCAATCTTAGACTGTGACAGACGTGTTGGCTTGGTGTGGGCCTATTTTTACATGTTGTATGGTCTGACTGACCGACGAGCTCTGTCCGGAGGGGGGGCTTGACCTGTCCGGTGGGGGCTTGAGCCCTCCTTCCCCCCCCCCCCCCCCCCCCCCCCCCCCCCCCCCCCCCCGGATCTTTGTTTATTTTTTCAAATTTTACGTAAGTGTAAAAAATAAATGTATCTTTGAATACGTACGTGCCATTTTTGTGACATTTGAAGGCAGCAAATTACGATAGGATGCGTCCCATTTTGGGGTATCAAAACGTCGGTGCTTTGACCTTGGTGGTGGTGTATGGATTTTGTGTAGGCCTAGCCTAGGCCTTGTAGCCATGCACCTTTGGGTCATAAACAATTGAGCCTATCACAAAATAACCAACACTTATGGGCAACAAGGAAGTATTTTTCGGCTACAATTTTCAATTTCCAAAACCTTACATATACTAATAAAAGCATGATGAGAGAAGAGAACAGAGTAAGCCCTAGGCCTATTCATTATAGTCTACGCTTGAATTGCACTGTGATTGAGAAAATCACGAACCGTTTACGAATAGCTAAACGTATGCGTACACATATTCGTTCGCGTGCGAAACCTCTCTAGTATTTGAAATGTAAACATTGATACTTCAGTTGCGCTATTCAAGTATTTAGTAATTATTACAGGGGAAATTGTTTTATGGGCAGAATCCAGGGGTGAGAACACTGAGGAAATAGCCATGAAGCAAATGCAGGGCGACAAAATAGCCAAGAAAAAAAAACAAGACCAGAATTGTTTATACTACTCTATGCTCTACTATATATTTATTGTGTTTATAAATGTAAACTGATATATATTTAGGCTCAATTATTATTAAAGATACTTTTTTTTCTCAACATTTTTTTTTCTTAAACTTAATCAAGAAACAAACCAAAATTGTTTAAATGGTGTTTTTATATATATATATTTTGCTCATAATTTCTTTTATTGAAGATATGGACCCTCCTAAAATTATAGAAGAGACCGGAAAAAACAGTGGCACTACATTTTCCTGCGAGTGGTCTACAATTCATCCTGATGATGAACCCATTGTTGTAAGATGGTTTCTTGATGGCCGTGAACTCATTACTAAAGACAATGATTTCATTATAAGGAAAGAAAAAAGGAAGACAAGACTTGTTATTCCTAACATAACTGAGGTTAATTTTGGGAATTACACTTGTAGTATCACTGTTAGTACAAATAGAGGTGATATGACTGAGATGAGCCAGAACTCCATAGAACTAAAAATGAATGGTAAGTAGAACGCCTGTGACTCGTAGCATGAAGAGGATACGCCTACTATTTACCCATATTACTTAATTCACTTAACCACAGACCCTGACTGAACATTGTATTTACGGATTAGCTATGCTCCTTACAGTTTATTAATTAATTTATCAAGCCAAGTTAATACGGTAAGCTGGTCATCTTTTACTTTAGACACTCATATGCTAAGGAAGACAGCAGGTGCTGGCAAAAATGACGTTCAATAAATG